CAGGAGACATGAGATCTTGTTTCAAAATAATCATTATTGTTGTTATTGTTGCCATTATTATTATTGCTGCAGAAAGATGGACAGTGGGGATTTTGTCTTAGATTTCCTGGAATGCCCTTTCTTCTTGCAAATGGTGAAGAGGGCTTTCAGGTACTTAGGCTCCAAGCTGGGGACAAAAACCGCAAACTGTGAAGGGGTAAAGACAGCAGATTGAATTAACCTAACCTCTCCAGGTCTGTTTCCTATCAGCAAAATAGGAAGCAAATTGCCCTGCGTCATAGGGCTGTTGTGAAGATTAAGTGAGAAAATGCAGCGAGGAGCTTATGAATGTGGGGCTAGAGACAGGACTCCCTGGGGAAAGGTGCTTGCTGCCAAGCCTGGGTTCCATCTCTGGCACTCACAAGTTGTTCTCTGACCTGCACATGGATGCCCTGGCTCCAGTGTGTGTGCACCTCACTCATACACACACACACACACACACACACACACACACACACACACACAGGAAGAGAGAGAGAGAGAGAGAAGTTAGAGTGATGAACTGTACAGCCAGCTCCTCTCACCTTCTGAGGGTAGTGGTAACCCACTCCTTCTGCACCTCCACCAAGGAAACATGTTATTGTTTTCCTTCCAAGGAGGGAGGAAATGGGGACATTGCATCCAACTCCAGGCACCCACCCAAACACTCTGGGTACACCCGACATTGGATGCCGTGGGAGGGATGGAGGACTGCTGGCGCTCCTCTGAGGCAGCTGTCCAACCATACACGGCACTCCATCCCCTTCGGGGATGTACTTGATCGGCCTGCGCAGGACCAAGTTCTTGCCCACCTTTGGGTCCTTTCCAGCCCTCCCTGTCTTGGATTTCGAGTTCTAAACTACACGTGGGATTTAATCTACACATTGGATTGTTAGGAGAAATGCAAGGAAAGGGAGCGAACAGCAGGAGAGGACAGAGGAACCCACACACACAAAGGGAAATGTTTGAAGACCCTGACGGCTGGTCTCTAGTCCGCCATGCTCCTAAAAGCAGTGTCACATGGAGGTAGATCTGAGCCAGGATGCGTCTACGATCTGCTGGGAGCTTTGAGGCCCTGTGTCTAGTAACCAAGCGAAAATTAAACAGTTTCCGCGCTGGTTTTGGCTATAGAGAGCAGAAGGTTCCCCTCAGGCGGACTGCCTCTTCCCTGGATCTGAACGGCGCTTGTAGGTGCGGTCAACTCCAAGGCAGCAGCGAGTGACGTGAGCTCTGAGTCCTGTCTTCTAGGCAGAAATGGGGGTGCTTAGAAACACCTTTTGAGAGCACAGTTCTGAGGTTCAGTCCGAGATTATCTCAGTTCCCAGTACTTGAATCCCAAACCAGACCCCGGTGCCACCTAGACTCCGCGGGGGGGGGGGGGGGGGGCCGTAGGGTCAGGGAGAGCTCGTCTGAACCCAGGTCCCAGACGGCTCCTGACTGTAACAAGAGGGATAGACGGGGACTGCTTCCCGGTCATCCCCTTGCCGGGAGCCAGGGGAAACATTGGAGTAGAACTGTGTCTACGTTCGTTCATCTTAAGAATAGACTGTAAAACCTCGATTTCCTGACTAATAATTTCGTCGTGGCCTGCGTCTGCCCCGGCCCATCTGCGGTCCCACCCTGGATTATAGCTTTGCCTTTTAAATCTAGAAAGTAGTCTACTGGGGTGGAGATGAAGGTCCGGGAAGATTAAGGCTGAAGACTTTGGGCAACGGAAGAAGTGAGGAGGCGGGCTGTCAGGTCGTCTGGCTGCCTTCCTGAGTGCTGACGCCTCTGACCCGCGGCCCTCCGCAGGGCCCGCAGGACCACCTGCACGTCACAGGCCGGGGAAAACAGGAAGAAAGGACCTCCCTTCGAGGCCTCCGTCCTTTAGCGCAATGGAAGGGGCACCCTGAAGGGAAAGGTTTAGCGAGGTTTGAGATTGTCCTAGACTAAAGCCGAGGGCGAGGATTTAAGTAAGGACCCGGTGCGAGTGCTCTACGTGAACACTCCCCACACCACGGAAGCCTTTCGGAAAAAGCTGTCTTGACCTGAGGCGTGGCTCTAGGATGGGAGGCGCTTGCCTCCAGCCTAACACATCTGAATTGAATCCGCAGGACCCACACGATGGAAAGATAGAACCGACTCCTACAAGTGTGTCCTCTGACCTCCACCTGAGCTCTTTGTTACACACACATGCGCCCACACCATACGCGATAAATAAAATTTTGAATGTTTTAAGGAAACTACTAGCCCTTCCTTCCCTCAGACTATAGCCGGCGAGCTGCCACCCGGTTTCCGCCCCGAGGAAAGAGCCCGCCATAAAGACCGAGGCACGTGAATCTATTCAATCTGTAAAATGGGAGTAATAAAGCCTACCACACGGTGCAGTGGGCGACAGGTTAATTCACGTAAAGCACCCGGCAGCGCCTGGGAGGAGTAGGCGCTTAATGCCAATTATAAATAACAAGAATGGCTTTGTCTTTTAGACACTGTAGAGCCACCACCGTTTGATGTAACTGCCCCATTAAGGGAGGTCCTACTTCCCTGTCGCTAATTATACAGACCTAGAAACAAGCTCTAACTTGCCTGGCAGTTCGAATGAACCAACCTAAAGTTGGACTCGAACCCAGGACAACTTCGTTCTTTTTCTACTTAGAAACATTTATGATTGGGCCGAGTCATCCAACGCTGATCAAAAATAGCAACCAGCAGGAGCGCAGACCCGGAGTCCTGCGTCAGCCCCGCCCCCACCTGAACAGAGCCAGGAAAGCTGAAGAGGGTCAGGGCAGCAGGAGAGGGGGGTCAGGCGGGGGCGGGGCCGGACCCCCACGTGCGCCGCCTGCAGCCGCTTAGCGAAGCCCTTTGTCGGGAGCAGCCGCGTTCGTGCCGCACTCGGCGGCTTAAAATAAAGACAATGTTCCCAGCCTCCCTGCCGCTAAATCCGGCTCGAGTGCGGGGGTGGTGAGCGAGCCGGGCGGGAGCGCTTCTCGCCGCGCTACCTCCCTTCTTCCCTTGTGCCTCAGTTTCCCCAGTTGGTAAGGGGAGACCTAGCCAAGTTAGGAAAGGAGCGCTGAAAAACGTGAAACAACAACGGGAGGGACGGGGCTATAGCCCCCTTCTTCTGAAGCTGCACAGACTCAAAAAAGCTGCGTGGGCCAAAGGTGGGGGCCACTCAGGAGGAGGCAGAGGAAAGCTGGACACCCTCCCCTCCCGCCCACAAAATAAGTGTTTTTGTTTCTAAAGGGACATGTGCAGAGGCGGTGGGAGAAAAGGGAGACCAAGAAGATTGGGGGAAGGGGGCAAAGAGGAAGCTTGATTCAGACTCGGAAATGGATGTGAAGGCCTAACTCCCCCACTCTAAACCACGTGTACACGCACAAGTACACGCACCCCCACTGTTCTCCCAACCGGCAGCCCGCAACCCAAGGATGGCCCAGCAGGGGGCAGCCCACCGCAGGGACTCTGAGTTCTGACCTAACCCTGAGAATTTAATGACCCCTAGGGTAGGAGAAGGAGCTGCTCGGATCCCGACCCCCGACCCCCGACCCCCAGCTACGGTATCTGACCAAACCCAGAAAGAAGGCACTCCGGGTGCCTCTTGGCACCCTGAGTTCTTAAAAGTATCCATGTTCCCGCATGTACCTGCCACTAGTGCCCCGTGGTTGCTGGCCCAAGCCCCAGAGACGCCAGAGTCTTCCTTCCCTGGCTCCTTAGGCAACTGGGATCCAAGCTCAACACTGGGATAGGGTTCTTGGTGGGAAAATGAAATGAGGAGGAAGGATGGGGCGGGTTGCCCCCCCGGGGCGGGTTGCCCCCCCCACTCCAAAACCCGTAGCTTAGAGACCCCAGGACCTGACTTCAAACAGTGGCTCACCTAGTACCCACCACGCTTCAGCTTTCTCTTTTCTCACCCATATAAAGGTGATCTTGATTTCAGCCCTTTGCACCTCCCACCCAGGGCATCATCACAGCCCACAGGGCAAACAACACCGGCGGCGCGCTGGCGTTTATAGCTTTCCCAGTGGTCAACTCTCCAGGAAGTCTCTACTGGGGCTTTGCTAGACTCGGGTCTCTATGACAAATGGTACCCCCAGCCAGGGGTCCCTATCGCTGAGTCAACTCAACACAGGAATCTAACCTGGACTCTGGGAGGCTGCTGGCCACACTGTAGGCTGAGAGGAGAGGCGGAGTGGCTCACACTCTCCAGGTACACACCTGTGAACCTAGAGTGGGAGTCAGGGGAGACAGAGTTTGACAAGCTGGGAGGAGAGCTGTCTGTCTCCCTGTCTGTCTGTCTTCCAAAGGGAAGCTGGGGGTGGAGCAGGCAAAGAGGTAGATGCTGCCTCGCTTGTCAAAATTAGCCAGTTCCACAGTTGGGCAACACTCAGACACACACTGAGTACAGACACACGCACGCACATGCGTTCTGGCTCGACTGGCAGGGTCACACCTGTATTTATGTAGGCTGCATGGTGACATGAGCACACACGGATGCACACATGTCGGACACTAAACAGCCTATGTAACAAACACACAGCCCCCCCCCACTCCCCACAAACAAGACACCCATATATCCTCACACCGGGGCTCTGCAGACACTAGAGCACTGCCCAGCATGTGGGCATGTCACTCAGCCCCAGGGCGGGTGCGCCAGCCCTCTGGGTCTGTTCCAAGTTGGAACCTCTCACGTGAGGCCCAATGTGTCATTTTCAAACAGAAGGAATCTAGCTCCCTCGCAGCAGGGAGGAAGAGCAGGGTGTGTGGCTGGGTGGGTGGGTGGGCGCGTGGGCATGTTCATGGGGGGAGGGCATGTGTGCAAAGGAAGCAGGCATGTGAATAACAGGGCATGTGTGTTGGGACATGGTGCACAAGAGTTGGGGGCTTTCCGGTTGGGGGCTTTCCGGTTGGGTGGGGGAAGAAGCCTAGGAAACAGAGTGTGCCTTTGTGAGGGTGTGTATGTGTGTGCCGCCGGTCTGTGTGCAGTGGGTGTGGGTGTTTGTCTCCCTGTATCCGCCTTCTCTCTCCTCCTGGACTTTTAGCCTTCCAGGGCTCTCCTTCCTCATGTCCTGCCTCCTCTGTCTCAAGGCTCAAAGTGGATGCCCTTGTGGACAAGGGGGGCACACTCTAGGACTTAGTCCAACCCCAGATGCTGCCTGAGGCTTCCCTCCTGCTCCCCCTCCCTTTCTTTCCTCCCTTCCCTCCCTCCCTCTCGTTCCCTTCCTCCCTCCCCCCCAAGGCTGGCGTGCCAGGGGGTGGGACATGCCAATCACTGGCTGTGCCTCTCCCGCTGCCAGCACAGGGCGCAGCTCCCCCCGGGAGCCAGGTGTTTGGGTCCCAGGAGACGCTGCAGGCCCCCGGAGAAGCAGTGAAGCTGAGGACCCCACAGACCCCTCTCCGGTCCCCTGGTGAGTACATTTGGGAAGGTTTGGGAGGGGCTGTGTTGAGCTGGGTGCAGAAGCAGCAGGGTCCTCTGGGACAGGGCAGGGACAAGGATGAGATAGAAATGGGGGTGGGCTCTGGAGAGGGGAGGTGGCCAAGGAGGGGTCTAGAGGCCAAGAGGTCTCTGTAGCCATGGGCATCGGCTGCTCCAAACACCCTGCCTGCTGGTTTTCAGTGGATTCTTCTGGTGTTTTTCTGGGCTTCAGTTGGCAGAAGAGATGGAGACCCTCTTAGGAAACTCAAACTAAGGTTCAGAAGAGATTAGATGGCCGTGTAGTTAGCAGATTGCCTAGCACCCTAAAGCAGAAAGGGAAAGGCAGGAGACAGCCCTTGCCACCAGCACCCCGCTGAAGGATGACCCGTGTACATACTTTTGGGGACACCTCCTTCTCTCCTCCTTCAGGGCACCCTGAATCCCACCTCCCCCATCCACCTTCAGCCCCCCAAGATGGACTGAAAGAGACTGCTGGCCAGATGGACAAGCTGGATGCCAAGGTGGGTGTTTGGCCAGAAGCCAGCAGGAGACCAGGCAAAGAGCCCCATTGCTTTTTGGAGACAAATAAGCACATGGGTAGCCACATCATCCAGAGGATATGGCCCTGGCATGTAGGGGACCCAGAGAGCCCTCCCTGGGTTTTTAGTATCTTTGGCTTCCGGAAGATAGGCTGCAGTCAGTGCAAGGGTCTCAGGCAATACAAGGATACTAATGCACACATGTGTGTCCTCAGACTCCAGGAAGGATGAGTTGGAGCCAGGGGCTTTGATTCTTACAGTTGCCACCTCCAAGACGGGTGTCTAGAGAGAGAGCAGTTGGACCATGAAGACCTGTACACCTTAGGGGTTCTTAGTGCCAGTGGAAAGGGCTTCACTTCTTCCTACAGTGCACATCTATCTGCAGATCCACCCCATTAGCCCAGTGTCCCCTGTCTCACTGGCTGGAAGAATTCAGGCAGTCTCCAGGAGCTGATCAGTCTCTTGTCCCGGGGTTACCAGCCACTCCATGAGCTGTGTAAGGAAAGGGCGCTACCCCTAGACTTCAGCTACTAGGTAAACCATGACAGCTGCTGAGATATGAAGAGGAGATGATGGAACAGGGCTACAGAAGGTATCATTCTGGCTGGGCTGCTGCCTGCTGGGCTGCTGGCTGTGACTTTGGTGGATCTTCAAGAGTAATGGGGAGCCCCTAGGCAGAGCTGTCCTAATGTACACTCAGAGAGAATGAGGCTGAAAAGAGAGAGCAGATATGTTCGTGGCCATAGAAGGGAGACATAGTAGTCCCGTTCATACTTGAACCTCATTCTCTTCACCCTCAGCACATCGCTGTGCTACCATCTCTGTGAGCAGGAAGACAGGATAGAATGGGGAAGGGAAGGGTCTAGTGAGCTTTGGGAGGCAAGAGCTTGGGCTCCCAAGCAGGCAGGCAGGGAAGAGGTGGGTGAATCGAGCTGAGTTTCTGCTCCACCGTGATGCCATGGTGATGCCTAGAAGAATGGGGGAGGGAAAGAGAGAAGAAAGGAAAAGGGGGAGTGCCAGGAGTGAGGCTCTGGAGATGTGCAGGGAGGAGGATGAGGGGGCCCAACATTGCTAATGCCACACTTGCAGAGCAAAGTCTAGGTTGCAGCCCGCTCACAGGTAGGCTCTTCCCAACCTGCTTAAAGATGGTTGGTCAGGTAGTCAAGGTCCATCACCAGTGAGCAAATTTGGCCATAGCTCTAGGACCGATGCTCCTCTTTCAGATCAGCGGTGGATTCAGGAAGCATTTAACTGATGGCCACTGATCTCCCAGTGGTGGCTTGAGCCGAAAAAGACCGAGATTAATTCCACTTGTTTACTTCCTTGTTTCCAAGGCCAGGGGGTCAGGGGTGGAAGTTTTGTGAACCTTTAATGAATCAAGAGCCACTTGAAGAGAAGTTAACCCGAGGGGAGTCACCCAGAAAGGCTGGCTTCTGGGCTGTGGTCCCTGACGGAGTAGTCAAAAGCCTGGACCAGAACCTCCTTCTTAGTACATATGTGAGACCCCAAGTTCCCATCCCTCAGCCCTCCCTGAAGACTACCTTCTCCCTAGAGTTATCTCTGCCCCAGCCAGGTTTTCAGACGGCTTCCAGCCCCAGAATAACAAGATGGCTCCGCACCTCCTTCTTAATTCTTCCCCCACATTCTCTGTCTCCCCTTCTTACTTCTTGACCAGACTAAGGAAAGTCTCATGTTCAGGAATCCTTCTCCCCAGCCTTCCTATCCTCCCCCAGTGGCTTCTTTCCTTCGCCCTTCCTTTCACCAGCCAGATCCCCTGTCCCTAGGGATTGGTCCAGGGCACTGGCGGTCATCAGTCTGGCCTGCCTTGTGTTAGAGACTCTGACCTCATCTCTTAACTCTTGGAGCCCACATTAACACACACCACCACCACCACAACCCACATTAGCTTAAACATACATACACACACACCACCACCACCACCACCCACAATAACTTACACACACACACGCACCACCACCACCACCCACAATAACTTGCACACACACACACACACACACACACACACCACCACTACCACCCACAATAACTTAACACACACCACCACCACCACCACCACCACCACTACCACCCACATTAGCTTACACACACACACACCACCACCACCACCACTACCACCCACATTAGCTTACACACACACATACACACCACCACCACCACCAGCATCCCACATCTATTCCTGAACCTCACTTAGCCTCTCTTTGCTCGCAATAAAGCAGGATTCTTCAACCATTGCACAAATTAAGAGGCTCTCCGTTTATTTTTCTCCTATGCTCTCCTGTCAGACAGTCCTTTACCCAAGAGAACAGAGGCCTGCTGATAAGGGGTCATAGAAGCAGAGGGGCCCCTAAACTCTGTTCCGGAGCTGGTCTTGATCCCCACAGGCTCATCCTCAACCTCTAGAGCCTGGAATCATTAAGGAGGACCCCCCTCCATGTATACATTCATGTATTTCTTTCACAAATATTTGTTGAACAGTTACTATGTAGCAAGCCCTAAGATAAAGCAGTAAATGAAGCAAGCAGAACCCCTGCTTTGCCTCTCCATCCATTATGACTGGATCTCCCCCTCCTCCACACCGTCATTCTTCATCGCACAGATAAATGACACAGACGCAGACCAGAATCTAAAGCAAGGACTTCTTGGCTGATTCAAACTAGGGTTTGGCCAAGCCAGTGAAGATAGGCGGAGACTCCCCTCAACACCCCGTCAGGAACAGCTTAGAGTCGGGGCTCCCAGAGATGGATCTCAGAGACAGAAGAGTGCATCACTGACAGGCTTTAAGGTCACCTCTTTTTGCAAATCGGAGATAATAGAATCTATTTTCAAGGAGTTATAACAAGCAAATTAAATTATGCATATAATGCGTAGAGCCATGTCTGGTATACTCAAGCAGCCAGTAAATATCAGTTGCTATGATAATAATAGTAATATTATTAAAGGCTCCCAACAGTCTTCGTCAGGAGGCCACAGTTCCAGGCAGAAAAGTACTCTCCCAATTTCTTAACACCTTCTTGCGTCCAAACACAAAAAGTTCCAAGATCCCACCCCACCACCACCATCCTCTTGTCATTCAACAATGCACACACCCTTACACACACACACACACACACACACACACACGCCTACTAGAAACTCAGCCCCATCCTACAAAATGGCGCTCAGGTCAGGATGGTGGCTTGCCTATGGTCAGTGAAACAAAAGATTGAAGCTAAGGGGTCTCTGCCTGACCCACCTTGCAATCCATATCACAGCTTTTTCTGTCAATGTTTGTTTCTTGTTTATTTAAGAGTTATTTATTTATGCTGGGCGGTGGTGGCGCACACCTTTAATCCCAGCACTCAGGAGGCAGAGGCAAGAGACAAGCATGCCTCTGTGAATTTGAGACCAGTGTAATCTACAGAGTGAGTTCCAGGACAGCCAGGGCTACACGGAGAAACCCTCTCTCAGGAAAGAAGAAATGTATTTATTTTTATTTTTCATGTATGCGTGTTTTGCCTGTATGTATGTCTGTGCATCCCATTCCTGCCTGGTGCCCCTGGAAGTCAGGAGAGGACATTGGATCCCCTAGGGACTGGCATTACAGACTGGTCAGCCACCATGTGCGTACTGGAACTTGAACCCCAGTCCTCTGTAAGAACAACCAGTGCTCTTAACCACTGAATCCATCTCTCCAACCTGTCCATGAATGTGTTAACAGGATGTGCTATGTGAATGTAGCATCAAGTTCCCCTTTCAACCAGAGAGCTAACCCTGAGCCCCTAGTTCATAAAACTTCTGGAGCCGCCACTGAACCCCAGCACCCTGTCTCTTAGTCCAGGATGGTCACAGTCATGGGAAACCAAGCTGATTCATGACCACCATCCTCCAGTAGCCAGTAGTGAACTCCCCAGTCGAGAGCAGAGATGTCTCAGTGCATAAACATGCTCATCAGGCAGCCCTGAGGGCCTGAGTTCAAACCCCCAGGACCTACAGAGAAGCAAGCATCTGTAATCTTGGTGCTGCTGCAAGGAGATGGAAGAGAGAGACAGGAGAATCCCTGGAGTTTACAGCCCAGTTGGCCTGGCACAAGCAGTGAGAAAACAACTCATCCTACACACGCACACACACACGCACACACACACACACACACACACACACACACACACACACGCAAGTCAAGGCTAAGGCCAGGCATGATAGTGCACACTATACTCCCAGCACTCAGAAGCCTGAAGCAGGAGAGTTGCTGTGACTTCAAGACCATCTTAGGCTAATAGTGAGACCTCAAACTAAATAACTTAAAAGCCCCTATAGGAGGTGACTCACAACCACCTGTAACTCCAGCTCCAGGGCATCAGACACCCTCTTCTGGCCCCTACCAACACCCGTACATGTAGCTTGCACTCACACAGACAGACACACACATAAATTTAAACTTTTTAAGAAGCAAAATAAAAAGCCATCTGAAAAGGTCATCTCATTGGTAGTCTGCTCATCTAGCAAGCAGAAGAGGGTTTAGTCCCTAGCACCCCATAAACTGGGTATGGTGGCACATACCTGTAATCCCAACTCTTGGGAAGTAGAGGTGGGACAATCAGAAATTCAAAGTCATTTTCAGCACATCGGGAGCTCAAAGCTAACCTGGACTACATGAAACCCTGTCCTAAAAATAAATGAATGAACAAACGAACGAACGCACGCACGTACACACAAATAAATTAAATAAATAAATAAATAAATAAATAAATAAATAAATAAATAAATGAAGGGTGACTGCTAGAGATCTGGCATATGAAAGGCTCTGGGTTCTAGGCAGGGTAGAAAAAAATGAAGAAACAAAAGAAGTTGATTAAGGATAATAACATAGATGTATCATTTCAACACCTGAGAGGCCAAGGTGACAAAGACCTTCCAAGGTTGCACGGTAAGGACTACAGTAGGTCACCCCGCTCTCACCGTGACAGGAAAGCAGGTTCATGACC